ACAGCTAGCTTTGAGCATTTAGTTTCCCATTCAGTCAGCCCCTCCTCCCCCTCATGGTCCACTGCCTTGCCACCCATCCTCTCTGCCCACCTGTCTTCCACCTCCACCCCTCCTACAGGTCTGGATGAATGTTTCTTTAAGTCCTTGGTTGTTGGAGTTCCATGCAGTTTGATTTTGGGGCACTTCTGGTTGTTTATTGTTTGTAAATTGGTTGTTATCCTTCTTTTGGTTGTATAAGGAAGTGAAACATTTCTACCTACATATCCATCTTGGCCAGAACTCCAGGTACATTATTATTTTATAGGCCCCAAAGCAAACACTTTTCATCAACTATAGGGATAATATTTTATTTTTTGGTGTATTAGCCATAGTCTGGAGGAGAAAGGCATATTTCTTTACAATGTTCATTTTTGTAGTTGATTATGATAAAAGGCATTTGTTGGGTGCCTAGTTGCTTTTGTATTGTGTTAGATTTAAAAGCAGCTGTGCTTTCTCAATATATACTGCATTGTCAGAAGAAACAGCATATTGGGTGTTTGTTTTGAGCTATCAATAAAGATCTTCATTTTACTCTTTCTACTTTGTCTTAAATTAAATAAATAAGAGCCCTCATCTTTGGTAGAGAGTAATCCTCAGTAAAAGTCAATTAAGAAATGAAAGTTTCCATATTTAAGCACTCAGAACTGGAGTCACCTAAATCCTTAGGTAATACCAAGGCTCCACCACAGATTGGGCTCAGCCAAAGAGTTAAGAATGTGCAGCCTGTCTTAGGCAATTCATCTTTATTTTGTTCCCACTAGTGCTGAGCTGGCCCCATGGAATCCAACCAAGTGCAGCAGACAGAAGAGTAATTTGCTGGAATTTTTGTTTCTAGTGTCAGAGCAAGGATTCATCATTATCTCCAGAAGAGCATGAATTAATTGACGATCATAACAAAACAAGTTCACCTCATCCAAATTCTCAGGACTGCATAAGCCCTAAAAGATACAATTCCCTTTGAACTTATGAATATGTCCAAAAGGCAAATAGCATACACTAAAAAGGGCTTATTAACTGGCTGCATCTCCACATTTTCTCTTACCTTCTTTCTTTCTGACCTGTTTTGGCAATTTCTATTTTCTTCCTTCATCTTTGCTCACTAATTTTTGTCTACTTTCCATTTTTAGTGAAATAAAGGCTCCCAGAACCACTAGCTCAGGAAGCCACTGTTCAATCATAGGCAGTGATCACTGGGACTCTAGGAAAAGAGCTGGCTTTAATTGAAGTCAGGGTTTCCTTTTGACTCTGCGCATATAGGTGCAAGAAGAAGAGTGGAATGGGAGCATAGGCTGTGACTATGAATTCTCCAGCAAGAGATTTGGGTCCTCTATTAGTGACCTCAGATTTCACAGCTGTTACAAAGAACAAGAATAAAATACTTCTTTCTTGGGTCCAGAAAAAAAATGAAGAATGGGGTGAATGAGCTTTGTGCTCTATTTCTTGGCATTAATAGATATTTCTTACCTGTTATTTCAAAAAGAGAATATATTGGAACATGACTGTGTTTTTGTTTAACTAGTATACAAGCAGCACATCCCATCCCATATTCCTCTTTGTGCAGTAGGTGTCAGCCTCACACAGCCTTTCTCTTCCTAAATGCACCTTCATAACGAAATGACCCTCTTACTTTCCTTGGTTAAAAGAACCAATTTCTTTTTCTTTCCATCTTAAACATGCACAACAATAGAAAACAGTCACCCACGTATTGGAAACAAAGTTGTACTAACGTACTTGAAAAATTACCTAACCAAATGTTGAGGTAGAGGACTGGAAAGGGCAGATTAAGTCTTACAGGTCACACTGAACAGATGTTAAGTGTTGGCTTCAGGATGGGTCTCTAAAAGATGCAGTTATGACACCAACTCAAGAAGAGCTGGACATGACCTTATCCAAGGGTCTTCTATTTTCTTCAGGCAAAGGAAGTTGAGGCATCAGCAAAGAGCTATAGTGTTCTGAGAAAAGTTCTCAGTGTAAACCATCGATATCTACCTTGTCCATGAATAAGTTAAGTGTCTTATCTTTGACTTCAGGCAAGACACTTCTCTGAGCCTGGCTGTCTGATCTTTATAATAGGAAAAAATAACTGCCTTGTCTACCCAAAGTGTTCAGTGAGGAGGGAAATAATTGAGATGTCATCCACAAAACAATCTGTAGATGGTAAAGCACTATTTAAATGTAGAAAGTAAAATAAAATATATAAAGTTAAGGGTAGAATAGAGTTACAAATAAAAATATTCAGTGCTCAAAATTTAAGAAATTTCAGTTAATCATTTTTGTAGATTTTTTTTTAAATAAAAGTGACCTCAAACATCAAGGGCTATTCTTCTTCTTTTTAAAAAAGATTTTATTTATTTATTTTTAGAGAGGGAAGGGAGAGAGAAAGAGAGAGAGAGAGAGAGAAACATCAATATGCGGTTGCTGGGGGCTGTGGCCTGCAACCCAGGCATGTGCCCTGACTGGGAATCAAACCTGCGATGCTTTGGTTCGCAGCCTGCACTCAATCCACTGAGCTATGCCAGCCAGGGCAGATTTTTCTTAACATACCTCACCAACACATTTTTCTCTCCTGTGTTCAATGTTAGTCATATAAAATTTTAACACACTTAGGGTTTATTTCCCAAAGCATCCCAACCTAAAGAGAACCATGTAATATAAATAAATGGTCCTTCTGAAGGAGCAGGAGGAGAGTCTTTTCCTAACTTTTACATTTTACCACTAATAGACAGTCATAGGTAAATACTAAAGAAATAGAAATATTAACCTTCACCAACACTTCCTTTCCAATTTGGTATGCCTCATACCACGATATCCCAAGAATGTATTTGACTGCATATGCCTCACCCTTGTTAGCTTCTAATTTCATAAATTAAAATGGCTAAAGTTTATCATATTGTAGTCAGTTTGCACTGGTTTGGGAAACAGACCTCCTACTCATTGCATTCATGTTTTATCTCATAAGTCTACATAATTTAAATTCAAGTGCAAACATAACTGAAAGAACTTATGTTTGAAAAGCAGGAAGATTTATTTTATACTTTGAGGCTGAAATTTGATCAGAAGCCCTCAAATCATATTGTTTAAAAATGAATCCATTAATTTTTCTCCCAATGCTTTCTAATGTTGTCAGGAAAGGCCAGAGGCAATTCAAAATTTTTCATGTCCCCTAACTTATCCCACCTATTGAGTTTTGTGCTATATATTCCCTTCCTTGTCTGTTCTTTTTGTTAAAAATCCTTTTTACATCACCCCCCCCCCTTTTTTTTTCTTTTTTCTTTTGCTGAGGTGTTTAATTTGCAATATCTTGAACTGGCAGAGAAGAAGAAGGCGTGGAACTCTCAACCTTTGAAATCTCTTCATACCTCCTGAGTGGATCAAAGAACAAAGTAGAAAAGACTGATGATTGAATGCACTTTACCCCACAGCTCAAACATCCCCATTTTAAAGGAGTATTTATTTTCCTTAAAAGTCAAAATCTTTGCACTGGCCAGGTGGCTTGTTGGATGGTGTGTTGTCCCATACACCAAAAGGTTGTGGGTTCAATTCCTGGTCAGGATATAAGATTTGATCTCTGTGGTCAGGGTGTGTGTGGGAGGCAACAAACTGACATTTCTTTCTCTCTCTATAAAATCAATAAACATATCCTAGGGTGAAGATAAAAAAAAAAGTCAAAATCTTTTGGAACATGTTCCCAAAAAGTGAGGCCAAATTTCTGTACTTAGTGGTTAGCTTGGGGAACTTTGGTTTTTAGACCTGCTTTAAAATCAAATACTTTTGAGTAATGTATTTAATACACATTCGGAATAATTTTATTTTAGGTTTATCTTGTTGTCTGCTATATTGCTTTTTGCTGTTTTTTCAAAGTACTTTACAATTATAAATAGACATCATTGCTCTCATGCTTCAGGCAGCAGTTTCTGGGTGAAATTCTTCAGGGAAGCCAAGACACAATATCATAAGTTAGTCTTCTCTTAACATCAACAATCTGCTTCATGATCAGAGAGGTGCTGATAACTTCCTACCTCTCCTCAGTCTGCCTTTCAAATAATTTATAGATGCAAAAAATATTAGAAACTGTGAAAGGCCCCATTCCACTAGATTTTGTGTCATTCTTTCCTGGAAGCAGGGTGGGAGCCATTTTTTTTTTTTTCTGTCTCAGCTAACACTAAATAAGAGCTGCAAACAGTGAAGCTATTACCTCCTCCTGGAGAGCTTCTTTCCACTATATTCTTCACAGTTCAGGATTACAATGAACCTCTTTTCCATTCTTTTTTTTTCCTAAGATTTTAAAAAATTTGTTTATTATTGTAATATTAACATTTTTTAAAGATTTTGTTTATTTTATTTATTTATTTATTTATTTATGAGAGAGGGAAGGGAGGGAGAGAGGGTGAGAAACATCAATGTGTGGTTGTTTCTCACGTGGCCCTAACTGGGGACCTGGCCCACAACCCAGGCATATGCCCTGACTGGGAATCAAACCAGTGACCCTTTGGTTCACAGCCTGTGCTCAATCCACTGAGCTACACCAGCCAGGGCCCATTATTCTTCCTTCTTTCCATTTCCCACCCCCACAGGTGGCTCTTCTCCTCCTTTCAGAAACCTGAAGATGATGACCTTACAACCTTCTCTCTAGTATCCTCAAATGATCCAGACATTAATATTTTAGTGCATTTGCCAGTATCTTTCTGATTGCATGAAAGTATCTGCACAACTAGTTTCTCATTTATAAAGCTGTATTGACCTGTAACGCTCTACTAGCTAATGAACTCTCCCGGAACAGTTGACATGGAGGAAAAGAGATGATTACGAAGAGAAATATTTTAACCCATCTTCTCTGTGGTCTTTGGAGGCTGAGTGCTAATATTAAATTGAAGAGGGAGGGGACGAGCGAGGATGGGAGAGGAATGGAGAGAGTGAAGGCGGAGCTAGCTCAGCATATAAACCACCGGCGTAAAGGGAAGCACGTTCCGCTGAGCCAGAGCCATTCTCCGAAAACCGAGAGAGATGGGGCGGTCTGTGCCGTGAGCACGGAGATTGGAAGAAAGAAAACAAGGACAGGACAAGCGAGACAGAAAAGGACATCTGGAAAAATCGGAAGGCAGAAGACGGGGCAAGGAAAAGAAACCCACACCAGGTGGAAACAAGATCCAGAGCAAACCGGTCGGATCTACAGTTGTTTTTCTGCAAAAGGGCTGGAGGATTGCCTTCCCCCCCTCCAGTTAATGAAAAGTATTTTATCCTCCTAAAAGAAAAGGCTGAGGGGCGGTAAAAATCTGTTTTCTTAGGGAGCGAGCCGAGGGAAATCCAGACTCTCCCTTTTTGAAGCGTTTGAAATAAGCCGCTGCCTGAACACTGCAGAACCCTCCTGTTTTCTGAAGATCTACATTCCTCCAGGAAAATTCCAGCCGGAGTAGCCGGTACAGTTATATTTTCGTATTTAAATATCTGTGTCTCTTCCCCCCCTCCCGTTAACAACATTTTCCTGGTTTGTAAGCACGAGTGACAAGAAAGTGTCAATATAGAGTAGGAATATTTTCAGTTTTCTCTTTTATCTGCCTGAGTGTTTTTTAAGAGGGTAGGAGTGGTCCTTATTTCGGGAGAAGACATTTTAATTTGAAAGGCTCGTTCTGTAAATATATTCACACCCATTCGCATTTAGAAAGATATCTTTCGGAGGCTGAAATTCTACTAAGATGGAAAAAGGAGCCAGGCACCGAAACAGCACCGAAAAGAACCACCCAGGTGGGAGCGAGTCAGAGACTGGGCCCGGAGAGGGAGAGGGCGGAGTAGCCCTGAAGAAGGAGATTGGATTGGTCAGTGCTTGCGGTATCATTGTGGGTGAGTGCAATTCCTTCTTTCCCCCTCTTGGTGGTCCTTCTGTGGAAACTTAACCCTTCTAAAGTACTGTTTTTGCTTCCTGTTCCCTTAGAAAAGGATTGTCAGTCACTTGTACTGTAAGGCTGCAGCCCACCTGCTGCTGGTCAAGTGTTATTTAAACCAAGCAGAACAGTTTTGTCCAGTGTTCATAGAATGAGCAAATAGGGATCACACACCTGGCTGAAGGTCAGCATTGCCTGAGAGCTTGTTAAAAAAAATACAGGTCTTCGGGCTCCCCACTTGAAGGTTCTGATTCAGTAGGCTTAAGGAGGGGCTAGGGAACCTCAAGTTTTAACAAGCTTTCATGCAGCCACCTCCTCACAGACTCTAGACTAGCTAGCTTTTGAGACATGTTTAGTAGATATTTGTTGTTGTATGTTATATAAAACTATGGGCCTGCAGAGATGCATAATAATAAAAATAGCTACAACAGCCATAATACTACCTTGCCTTTCTATAGCTTTTCGACCTTAGGCAGCACTTAGTGAAATAAATATGGCAGGGCTCTTACTTCCATTTCACAGATGAGGAAACACATTATGGAAGAAGAGACAGATTGTGCCTTTCTGTAACTGTTTAGTTTGCACTTTCTCTAGTTGCCTAGTGAAGTCCCCCTGTCTGTTAACCCTGTGAGGTTCTGAGACGGAATGGGGAGTAACTAGAATGTGGAGTCAAGTAAGAATTGATAGCCCCCTGCCTGGTGTGGATCAGAGGACTGGGCACGGCCTGTAACCCAAAAGATCACCAGTTCGATTCCCAGTCAGGGCACGTAGTGCCTGGGTTGCAGACCAGGTCCCCAGTAGGGGGCGTGTGGAAGGCAACCACACTTCAATGTTTCTCGCCCTCTCTTTCTCCTTCCTTTCCTCTCTCTAAAAATAAATAAAAATCTAAAAAAAAGTTTTAAATAATTAACCTAATTAAAAAAAGAGAAGAACTGATGGCTAAAATGTGTCCTGGCTAAGAGGCTTTAAAACTGGGGAGCTGGGTGTCCCTGAGGGTGCCAGTGCCAGCCACTCCAACCCCTAACTGTACTCCATTCAGCAGGGGGGCCCAAATATGGCTTCATCTCAGAAAATACTTCCTCTTCCTTAATGGTGCATTACTGTCCTCACTTCAGAGGGAGAGAGTTTCTTCTGCTGTCTTTGGTAGAGGGCTTAACCCTTTCCCCATGGAAAGGAGAGCTGGTCAGAGAGGCTGGATATGCTTCTGCATCATTTCTCCAGAGTTCTTTTTGAAGGCTTATTGTTTCTCGGTGCCCACAAACCAGTTTCTCTGGATGACCTGATGATCCATGTGGCGGTGCAGAGACATTTTTGGCACCTGTGCAATAGTGACACTGGAGAACACCCTTGAAATCAAATAAAATCAGTACAGTATTCAGATAATCCTCTTCACCCCTACACCCAGACTTCAATGATAATTATCTCCACCCTGTTTTTAAAATAGAATCCCATTTTGTTTAATTCTCTGATTGTGGGAGGTTTTGTAGGCATCTGCAGTTACAGGAAAAGTAATCTTATTTTAAAAACTATAGTCCTGATCTCAATCTTTCATTACCCTTTCTTTGCCTGTCCTTCATCCCAAGTGCTCTAAAAAATGAGATCAGCAAAGTACTCAATATGTACAGCACATGCCAATTTAAGATCTATAAAGAGCCCAGCGCCTGTTACCTCTTTCACCAGTTTGACTGATAGGATTCAGCGTTTTCCTCCCTTTGGAAAGGTTCTGATTCATATACAAATGCGCACACTCACACACACAAACACAACTGCCTTCTTCCTGCTTGAGTTTTGCTCACCCACCCCAACATATGAGCAGGTTTTCAAGGTCAGAGGATATTTTCCTATATGCTAAGGTTGGTTTGTGTCTTTCTTTAACATTTTTCTAAGCCTATGAAGAAATGGGAGTGTTCAGATATAAAAAGTACAACTCGAGTGGTTGTTACTACTGACTGTCCACAACCTCATGGATCACACTATGGCGAAAAGAGATTCCAAATACGTGATTTCAGAGAAATCAGGATATTTTTCTAAAATGAGAGAATCCTTGTAGAGTTACTAGGCACTATCCTACATTTAAGCTGGGATAAGATGCCAGCTTCCCCTTTAGGATGATACGGGGGCCAAATCCTTTCTGCTTCAACTCCTGCATGGTTGTTGAGTTACAAATGTGCTGAGCATCTGCCTTGTCCTTTTTTAGAGGAGTTTCCAAGTGGATGTTAGTGACTCAAAACCAAATGCAAAAATAGAAATGGCATTTTCTACACAGAATTTAGTGATCTGGTGTTCAATGTCACCACCATGGAAGAAACAGAATTAGAAGGCAGAAAGAGAAAGGAAATTTCCTAAGCGAATCAGGTGATGTGCTACAGGAAAGTAGCAATTGCCTCAATTTTGTCTGTCTAATACACAACTGACTTAGAGGGATAAGTGAAACTGTATTTCATACAAACTCATAAAACTTCATTCACAATCATCATTGATGCTCTAAAGTAGAAATAACAGAATGACGAGTGCTATGGGATTATAAAATGAACTAATAGAAAACTCATGCCCTAGAGTTCCTTATAATCTAATTGGGGAGATCAAATCCATATGCATTAAACAGAGAACATTGAAAATGCATGCTATGATTGCATAAGAGATGAAGGAAGGCAAAGTTAAGTGAATGGTGGAAAACATAAAAAGAGAGAGGTTCTCACCCAGAACTAGATTAAGAAGCATCTTCACGGATGTGAAAAAAGATAGAGTAGAAAAGATAATTTGAGGAGATTTTATAGGCAAGAGAGCAATAACTAAACTGTTATTTCCTTGAGCAAAAAAGATGTGTCTTATACATCCCCAAGTCTTTATTGCTTAGCAGAGTGCCTGACAGGGAACAATTACTCAAATGATTGTTGAATTTAATTGACTCTTGGACAAAAGTCCTAAGACAGTAATAATAAGTGTTTATCTTCAAGGATATTGGGAGCCTGGTTTGAAAATCTTTAAGCTAGGAATAATTTCATCAACCTGCACAATTAGGTTGTTCCGTTTTTCTTTAACTCCACCTTTGCCCTAAGCTAAACAAGCTATTGCTCTGCATGTACTTGGCTAAGGAAACTCTTGGGGACAGATGAACTTAGATTCCCCCATGAATGTGAAATCCCCCAAAATGTAAAGAACATGTGAGGGAGCAACAAAATCCATTTAATAATTACACCAAAGCTACTAGCTATCATTATGAAACACTTATTATACACCAAGCACTCATCCAATTATATAACATACATTATCTTATTTATTCCTCACAATAACCCCATGTGGTAGACACTTATCAACCCTTCCTCCAGATATGGAAATACAGGCTCCGAGGGATAAACAACATGGTGAAGGTCACACAGCTGAAAAGTATGGAAGCCAAGATTCAAACCCAGAGCTTGTCTGAATCCTGAATTGAGCTCTTAAGAATTATTCTCTGCTACTTCTGTTTTTATGTCCTGAAAGGGGTATTTTCCTTTAGATCCTGGCAAGACGTCCTTATTCATTTTTATAGATGAAGCAGTTAGTGTTTGTTGTGTTCCCAGCGAAGACGTGTCCCAAAACAAACTAAAGGGAAGCTACGCTATCGCCTGGGGTGGAAGAAGGTAGTGTTCCTGGTCCAACTGCAGGAAGACTTGAGGGGGGCAGTCTGAGGTCTGTCAGCTCAGCTACCACAGGATCTGGCCAGCACAGAACACACTCCCATTAACACTCCCACATGCAAGCCGTTCCTCTATGGACCAGCAGTCTTCCCAACCATGGAAGAGAGGCCTAGAGTTCCTGGCTGTCTAGGTCACTTTATATCAGTTACGTACTTAGGCACACACTTAGAATCTAGGTCTGAAGGCACCAGACCCACTGCAAAGCCTAAAGAAAAATATTCATACTTGGTCAGACCATTTTGTTTTTACCATAGTTTGTGTTCCTGGGGGAACTCGATCAGTTTCCTACAGAGCAATACTGGATGCAGGTCTAGCTACTAGACTACTCTCTCCCAACTAAAAAGATGTTTAAAAAAAAAACAGTACTTACTGAGCTCTAAATGCCATTTCCTGCACTATAAACTCTTTATGTATATTACCTTATTTAATCCTGATCACAATTCCGTGGAAGTAGATATCATAACTATCTCTATTTTAAATATGGGGAAGTTGCCCTGGCTGGTGTAGCTCAGTGGATTGAGCGCTGTCCTGTGAAACAAAGGGTCACAGGTTCGATTCCCAGTCAGGGCACATGCCTGGGTTGTGGGCCAGGTCCTGGGGGTTGCATGAGAGGCAACCACACACTGATGTTTCTCTCCCTCTCTTTCTCCTTCCCTTCCCCTCTGTCTAAAAAGAAATAAAATCTTAAAAATAAATAAGTAGAGCCCTGGCTGGCGTAGCTCAGTGGATTGAGCGCGGGCTGGGAACCAAAGTGTCCCAGGTTCGATTCCCAGCCAGGGTACATTCCTAGGTTGCAGGCCATAACCCCCAGCAACCGCACATTGATGTTTCTCTCTCTCTCTCTCTCTCTCTCTCTCTCTCTCCCCCTTCCCTCCCTAAAAATAAAATAAATAAATAAAATCTTAAAAAATAATAATAATAAATAAATAAATAAGGAAATAAATAAATAAATAAATAAATATGGGGAGGAATCACAGAGCTAGTAATTGCCCGATGTCACACACTTGATTTCTGAGATGGTCTGATTCCATGGCCAAAGCTCTTAGCCATTCCCCATTTCTAATTGGTAACCAAGAGAGGAGGGAAGGAAGCTGGTACGTATTGTGCAGTGGAGGAGTAGGCCATGGAGGACCACAATGTAGGCATTGGAATCTGGAAAGACCATGAATGTCTGATACTGGAAATTTAGGGGAAAACTTTTTTTAAGGCTATTTGTCAAGAAGTTTGGCTATAATTTTAACCATATGAAGTGGCACTGGGCTGGTTTGGAAAATTTTCA